GAACCCCCAAACAGAGTAGCCCAGGACTGGACGGCATTGGCTATGAGATACTTTACCTCCTTGTCTCTCACCCAAGCTGTCGTGATATTATCCATCAGGTATTTAATGACGCTGTTCGCTCGGCAAAGTTCCCCAAATCTTGGCAGGCCTCATGTATCATTATCTTACACAAGAAAGGTGACAAGAGTGATCTAGCTAACTACCGTCCCATCACATTGATTGCAGCGGATTGCAAGGTCTTTACTCGCATCATGAACTCTAGAGTTGTCCAAGTGGCTAACAGGATTATCACCCCTTATCAATGCGGTTTCTTGCCCGGCCGTTATATTGGGGATCATGGAATGTCTCTCCAGGTGATTATGGATAATGCTCAGTCTGCTAGCTGGCGGAACCCCTCCAATTTTACTGCTTATGCTGGCATCATGCTTGATAATGCCAAGGCCTATGACCGGGTCCACCCAAAGTATCTCTCCCAAGTACTGCTAAAGTTTGGCTTCCCTGAAGCGTTTGTCACATGCATTACCAACCTGTTCTTCGATAACTCCATCTATGTCAATGTAAATGGCTTCTTAACCGGGGCAATCTCTCAGCGACGAGGGATTCGTCAAGGTGATAGTATCTCGCCAGTCTTGTTCAACCTGGCCATTGAGCCGTTCCTACTCTCCATAGTCAACAATGTGAACCTCACAGGATACAGCCTGCAACACGTCAAGCTCCCACACCAAATACAGAACCCATGGATATCTCCTGCTCCCATCAAGGTCCTCGCGTACGCCGATGATGTCCTGTCCTTTGTGAAGTCGCAAGATGAATTAGTTGAGCTCCAGGATCGTCTCAGAGTGTACAATCAAGCCTCCAATGCCAAGATCAATTACAGTAAATCCGTCGCCTTCCCGCTGCACGGCGGTAAGATGAAAGATACTGATGGCCAACAGGTCAAACGTTATGTCACTACTCAACTGCGTATGAAATGGTACGACAGCCACTCCACGGGTTATATCAAGTATCTTGGATACCCACTCTGGTTTGCTAATCACCAACGCGATGTCTTCGTCTCAGAGCTACTGGGCAATATCAGGGTCATGACTGACATCTACGGGTCTAGAAAGGTCTCACTCTACGGCAAGGCCAACATCGCCAACACGCTCATCCTCTCCAAGCTGTGGCATGTTATCCGAGTTGTGTCGCTCCCTCAAGAGGTTTTGAAAAAGATCAAGTCCACCATTTACCAATTTGTGATGTCCGGTTTGTTCCCACCGCTCAAGGCAAACTCATTCTTTCTACCTCGTGATCAAGGCGGGCTAGGCCTGATCGACATTGGAGCACAACAAAAGTCGTTACAGTTTCGATACCTACGAGTCTTACTACTCGGTAACCATGGTCGCCTACCTGGCTTCACATATCAACTGCTCACTCACGCACTTCGTCTCACAAACGACGTCGCTCATCATGCCCTGCCTCTCTTGTTTCCATCTGCTCGCTACAAGAATACGCTGAATGGTCTCCATCCATTCCTATCGATGTTCAATGCCATGGACATCTGCAGCCTTCACAGAGACTGGGATAGACGCCCAACAATCACTACCATCATGAGTCTCCCCCTCCTTGCTGCCTTCAACCCCTTTGCTGTTACAACAGACCTGGAATTCATGACCAAAGATTCGGTTAGGAGAAGTTGTATCCGCGACTTCTTTGCATATGACCTTGCTCAGCATAGCCTCCAGTTTCGACCTCGGTCAGAATGCCCCACACCAACCACCTTGAACAAAGTTCGTCGTGCCCTAGCCAACCATCAGATCTCCTTCCAACGCTTTGTCAACCACAACAATGCCGGTGAGATGGATTTCCTGCCTTTCGTTGAATCCATGATCTACCAACAGCACCCAATCTTCAAACTGCCGAATAGAGAGCTCCGTTTCGTCATGCTAGACATGGCTAACCTCGATGTCGGTAGACATTACAGTAACCAACTCAGCAAACAGCAATGGAAGGCATTCTACAAGAACACGATGCACTACTCAGCTCGCAACCTTTGGTACAGAATGATCCACAAACAAAGCTCAAATCAACTGGCAATGGCCCAACGCAATCTTAAACATGCCGCATCAGACCGCTGTACCCTTTGCAATGAAGTGGAAGACGCTCAACACCTGCTCATCAGTTGCGTCCATAAACTTGATGTCTGGGACTCCTCCTTCAACGAGTTCCTTAGCTACCCCAAAACCGCCGATCCACAACTTATCTACAACTCAATTATGCACTTCAAACTGAAGCATTATTATATCTACAATTATGACTTACACATTACCATATATGACCTCTTTGCCACCATTATGCGTACTATCTGGAGACACCATTATCAACAGTTTTACAACCTCATCCCCTTTAATGCCATCCAAGTCTGTCGCCACATCCGCACAGAACTGTTAAGATTGTCAAATCTTAGGCAACTCTCCCATTAGTCTATTATTCAAGATTTATATATGGCAAGTCACTTTGTCTCCATACACTTGTCCATCTCTTTGATGCATTTGTTTTATTTCTAATTACTATCCTAATAAAATAATATCATCCAAAAAAAAAAAAAAAAAAAAAAAAAAAAGTTTTCATCGAAAATCAAACGATCGCGTTTTTCACCTTGAAAACGAAGACTTTTACTATGGTACATAATAAATCAAAATGTTTTTCTCGATTCAACGCAACCTCTGAAACCACTTTTATGAGGCTTTCATATGCAAAATATGGCTATTTTCACTAAAAACGTTATTTTATATTTTATTAAATTGCTCAGTAATTTCAGTCAAAACACTTATTAAAGTTAGCACCATTGGAAGCGCCTTGAAAAGTACTTCAAGAATGTATTAGGAAGCATAAGGTGATCATTACAGCTTATATAGTCAAATAATATAAAATAGATTTTTTTTTTTAAATTGTGTTTATTGATTGAGCCGCGTACACTAAGAGTAATAGGTCAGAGTGAAGAGGCGGGTGCAATTGAGAAATGAAAAAAATATAAATATAAATGGAAACTAAACTAAACTAACAAAAGGAACTATCTAACTATCTAAATTACAAGAGGGAATGGATTTGATCTTCATCCACTGTCTGTCGGACAGTGGAGTGGATATGTACCAGAATCGCCTCAGGGACAAAGATAGTGCCGTCAAAAACAAAGCGCATATGGGCTAGCCATATTTGAGACAGGGTGATGAGTAGGATTCTGTATGGATGGATGCCTTTGACTTGGGAGTACCAGATATCTGAAAAGTCCAGGGACAGAAGAGCCTCTTTGATGTCAGTGATGGACGTGGTGGGCCATAGGAACTCAAAAATGACGCCTTATAAAATAGATTAAAGAAGTCGAAAAAAAACAAAATCTGTCCAATCTTGAACAGAAAAAATAAATTGAGTTTGAATCGATTTTGGCGGCGGCATTGCTGCTGGCTGACCAAAATGCCTTTCTGTTGATGGCAATGATGATTGTGATGCTGATTAATTAGGGATTATGAATTTGAAAGAACAATCAATTAGCTTGAATCCTTTTTTATTTGGTTGTTTTGCGAGTTTTTCCCTATATAGGTGTCTTTTGCAATGATAACCTCTCAAAAAAATCGCTGTAGATCTCATAAAAGTCCTGTGTTTACGCATGGCCAGCTCTGTGTCGCCATCTCAAGAGCAGCATCCGCAAATGGTATCACAGTTCTACCGCCAGAAAATGCGACTCGGACGGAGGATGTAGTAAACCAGAAGTCTTATAGTAATATAACGTAAATGCTTCATAAAAAATGTTGATTTGTACCTCCAAAGTTCTGACGTTTAAATCAAGCTTCATGCCTAATATAGTCATTGTTTAAAATGTACTTTTATAGCAGAGTTTTACTATCTCTTCTGATTTGAAATGTCTTCGGTGAGAGCCCGCAGGGCGACGCCGTCATCGAGCGTAGCGAGATGAATCGGCTAGTTCTATTTATACTAAGTTCTGAATGCCAAAGTAGCAATTTATCTTGTACAAAGCTTATCACATCTGGTGAACCTCAGCATTTAGATAGCAGAGATGCACTTCAATTATCATAGCTTGTCTGTGTTGTGCAACAACATGGACATATCTGCCCCATCAAGAATACCTTAATCTTTATAGACAGTTGTAGCCCTTCTGGCACAACAGCATTGAATATTTCCTGAATAGCAGCCGTAACGTTTTTCTTCTGTACACAGTCCTTTCCAATAATGATCCAAACTCTTTGAGAGCTTTGCTATATGTGTGTTTTCATCTCTCATGTAGCTCTTTGATAGAGGCAACGCTTGATGAACTGCACTTCTCTTGAAAAATGTTCGCTCTGTTTAATAAAATGAAATATAAGCCTACCATAATAGCAGAGGGTGGATTTAAGTAGTCCTTTACAAGCGGTATTGCAGACTTCATATTGGACATGATGAGGAGGAGAGGTAAAGTAGTAGACAGAAAAGAGGCTCTTTTTCTTCCTGTTATTTTATTCGAGTAATAAGGAACTGCTGAGAATTGAATCGTGTTTATTAACAGCAGGAAGTGTCAATTAATCTTTAATCAGCATCATAAATATACCACATTGGATCGATCATTTAAATATGCAATCGAGGTTTCTCAACAACAACAAAACAGGCTGCTGCAAGTCTTCTACTGTGAATACTGCGTTAGACTTCGAATTGCAGATAGCAAGGCTTCAACTGTATTCATTATTTAATGAGGCTGAATCGGAGCGAGCTGCGCAAATCTAATAATACAAGCATTGCTTTATGAAATCATCGCTCTCTGACAGATAAAATACAAGCATTCAAGAAGCCACATATTAAATACATGTATTAAAAAACGGCCTGATTCAAAATCTGAGAAATGCTGTCAAATGAGTGAAATATATTGGGTTAATTTCTGCCCACATTACTATACTTAAATAGCCTCATGCAACATTACGTTGTGCTCATAGATTATGGATTCAATCGACCACAGACTTTATTTATGATCATTATGCCCAAACAGCAGAGCTGCCGACGCCCTTTGCCTTTCCATCTTGATAAGTTTTACTCAATTCGGTGTATTGCTTCTTGATGTCTTGAATGCGCTGCTTGTATTCATCTACTTTGGATGCATCCATGGTATCTACAATGGCAGCGACAGAGCTTGAAGTGAAAAAGTGATTGTTCTTGTTGTACAGTGGTCTATTCTTGAACGTCTCTTCGGTATCACTGGGCGCCTTGACGCGGTAAACCTCTTCCAAGATTTGTATGTCATATGGAATAGAAAACTCGTCTCTTGAATCTTCATAGGTAAAAAGATAGTAGAATTCATTAAAACCAGCCCAGGTGATGGCACTTAAACAGAGGGAGCATGGCTCGTGAGTAGCATAGAACACGCAGTCTTTAGGACTTGGCCTTGATTCTTTGGGAATTTGTGTAAAGAACTCTTGAATACAATTGGTCTCGCCATGCAACAATGGTGATACTTGTTCGTTGTTAGTAGAAGCATGCACCAGCTCCAAAGTGTCCTTTTTAAATATGGCAGCACCGAAAAGCTTGGATCCAGAAGAGACCCCTTTAGCAGTAAGGGGAATAATCTTGTTGACCGTGGTATCGAAAAGAGTATCGACTAAGTGTTCGGGTGTGTGCTTGGATTTGACAATGGGCATTGTTGTTTGTATGAGGAAATGCTGGAAATTACACACTGTATTTATACGAAAGAAAAGAAGAATCAGAATAACGTCTTTAAAAGTTAGTTTTAAATTGCTTTTTCTGTAACACACGGCAAGGGGGATCCACGTGAATTCTATGGGTATGATCGTATACCAGTAGCTTATATACTTGGAATGCTTTGACATGCTTATCATGCTTGTATTTAAAGATAAGCGTGATTGTTGAAGCAATCCTCTTTGTACTCAGTTTGCCTGTATCACCATTTATACCAGTGTGAATTCCCACAGCGGTCGGTTCTGGCAACATATTGGATGGATCAGTGTATTCTACCTGGTATAGTTCCCATGCTAAATAAAGCATAGTGAATTATACATGGTATATAGAGAACTGCATCATGTAATTTTCGTTTGATTATGAGATTCCTGAACCAGACGTGGTTAACGAAAATGGACAATGAGCCATGGATCAATGAATAGAAGCAATATTGCTGCCGAATTCAACCAAAAATACATGTTATTCTACTGAAATAACGTGTGTACAAAATGCGCCTTTATGTATTGAATACTATTTAGCACAACAGTATGCCATGTATATACCATGATACTCTTCCATTGACAACGCGAGTCGAGATGCAGAGTAACAACGTCAATTACCGTATGGCGATCTTGGTATGGCGCATTGTCGATGCTTGTTATTGTTTAAGCCTAATTTTTACATACTTGGAGCTGTTCCTTGCTTGAATTTACGAGTGGTGCATGCCACCTTGGGCAATATACTTGCAAGGGGGTATAAAAGATAGATGTGTTTAGTAGTCGCTGTTCTCAACATCAATTGGTAATAAGCCATAACTACTGACTCAATGTATCTAAACCTTGCAGGAAAGCTGTCAGGCACTGATGTACTGCATCAAAATTAAAACTCTATTATTTGCATTAAACACTGGCCAGAGTTTGAGACACACACGTTGTTTGTTTATGAAAGGAAAAACGCCATACAGGTCTTTTTTTTGAAACAAATAGTTGATTACCCCTTGAATTCTCGTCTTCTTCTTTTTCTTACTTGGTATACTCAAAATGACGCGGGCAAAAAGATCAACATCTACTGCTAATGTGAATGGTTCAAGAAACAAGACTCGGCTCAGACAACAAGCTTCCATCACCAGCTGGCTGTCTAACCTACAGATTAAGAATGAAACCAGGCAAGACGATTCTGCCGCAAGCGTGGAGGACTTGTCTGTCACTGCCCACAGCTATTCACCCACTCCAGATCTCAAGGAAGAAGAGACGAATAAAATGGAAGATGTGATCCAAGAGCAACAACTGACCTCAGATGACGAAGACTCGAGCTGCAGTAGCGATAATCATACTGTCAAGACAGATGCTCCAGTGACACATTTATATCAGGAGGATAATGGAAATGGTAAGTGGGACACCGATTCACAACGTGTCAATTCACTCATGATGCGTGTCAAGTAGATACTCTGCCTGACCCCAAAGATCCCAACTTTTACTGTCGTGTGTGCAAGACAACCAATACAGCGCTATGGGAATACAGGAAGCACTGTACAAGAATACATCATATGAAACTTGATACCCTGAAAAAGCTGTACAAGCCCATCCCTGGGGTCAAGCCCGATCCCAAGGATCCTAATAACTATTGTCGAGCATGTCAAGCCAGTTTTCCCTCTGCAAAAGCCTTTTCAACGCATCTCAACATGAAACACTGGGCTGAATTCCCTGCAAAAGAATTGAGAAAGAGAAAAAACACGGGTGGTATCCCAGACATGGACGACAAGAACTCGCACTGTCGCTCTTGTGATGCTGAATACAAGCGAACGACGGACGCCTATCATACTCATTTGGTAACCAAACATAAAATGAATCTGGAGAATATCAGAGCTTTCAATCAAGACGGCAAGAACATTGAGAATGCGCACACGTACTGCCTCTCTTGCAAAGCATCGTTTAGCTCACTGGGCATGTATGTGAATCATTACAAGACCACGCATAGTGTCAGAATGACCAACCGGCGCACATTTGACCCCAATATCAAGCTGGATCCGGATGACCCCAGTTTCTGCTGTCGATCCTGCAACCTGCAGTATGCCAATAGAGCCGCTTATCGAGTACACTTGAAGGGACCTCACAAAATGATACTGGGATCCTTACTGGAAATCAGTGTAGCCACACCTGGTGTTGAGCCTGACCCTGAAGATCCAAACTTCCATTGTCGCTCCTGCAACCGCACGTATGAAACCAAGGGTGATTACAGAATTCATTTGCGTGTTATGCACAAGTTGAACTTAAAGCCAATGTTTGCCAGACCTCAAAAGGACATTGAGCCTGATGTGGATGATCCAAACTTTTACTGCTGCTCCTGCAAAAAGACATTTGAAAATCGACACTCTTTTAGAAATCATCTGATGGCCGTGCACAAGGTGACTCCATTGCGCACCATGACGCATCCCAATGCCGACATTGAGCCTGATGTCAACGACCCCAATAACCATTGCCGCTCTTGCAACAAGACGTTTCCACACAACAGGGACTACCGTGCTCACCTCAGATCTCGCCATAACATGAAGCTGGAGCCTCTTGTCAAACTGTGCACGCCAACGCCTGGAATCCTCCCTGATCCCGACGATCCCAATTTTTTCTGCCGCTCCTGTATTGTGGGTTACTCCAATGTGTCCGATTATCGAGGCCATCTCAAGCGAAGACATGGCATGAAATCGTCTATAAAGAAAATCGCGACAACACCGAACCCCAACATTCTCCCAGACATCCATTCCAAGGATTTCTATTGCATATCTTGCGAAAAGCAGTTCAACGATAACACCCATTACCGTAGTCATCTGCGCTACAGACACAAGATCAAGCTAGACAGGCTCATCCACAATGCATATGATGTTGATGCCTCCATCATCCCAGATGTAGATGACCCTAATTTACACTGTGCATCGTGTAAGGTTACCATGGCAACCAAAGCCAAGTATCGTGCACATTTAAAATTTGTTCATAAGATGAAGCTGGAGCCGTTGAACAAGCCTAACCCGAATATCATCCCTGATGCTGATGATCCCAAATCTTACTGCAAGTCCTGCAAACGAACCTTGAAAAATGCACAGTGCTACCGCAGACATCTGCGCAAAGTACATAACATGCGTCTGTCGCCCTTGATACGCCGAGGTAAAATGAATACTGAGGTGAAACCTGATCCGAATGACCCAAAACATCATTGCGTCTCCTGTGATATCACATTTCCCAACAGACGTCGCTACAAACTGCACTTGTCATATAAGCACATAGACCTCATGAAACCACCTGTGGACGATGGCGGTTCCTACCTCAAAGTATCTGATTTCGACGTTGACAAGCTCTACTGCCATCTATGTCGCAAAACAGCCAAAGACGAAAAGTCCTATTCTCAGCACTTGAGAACGCAACACCTGGTAGTATATACAATGTCGAAAAAAGACAAAGGAGGGAAACGAAAGTACTATCCTAGACCTGAAGTGATCCCTGACCGCAATGATCCAAACTTCTTTTGCAAATCATGTCAGTACAAGTTTCCTGATTGGGAGCGCTATAGATATCACCTTGTACATTTGCACAAGATGAAGATTGAGAGAACAGGCTCTTGCAACCCAACGCCAGGCATTGTGCCAGATGTCGATGATCCGAACTATTACTGCAAGTCATGCAAGAGGTCATGGTTGAAGCGAGAGAGCTACAGAGACCATCTACGAAGAGTGCATAAGATGAAGTTACCTGTGACACCAAAGCCAGTTTGGACTTGGGAGAACCCTGAAGAGGCAGCGTTAGCAGCAGAGGCAGAGGCAGAGGCAGAGGCAGAGGCAGAAGCGTCTAACAGGAATGACATGATGGACACATCTTGTCCCTATACTGATGTCAAGGTTAGCATCAACAGATTGGATAACATAATGACACTAAATGAGCCACTGCCTGTGCCTGTAAAGTTGGAAACGACAGTACTGGATCAGCCCATAGAGGACTAAGCCTATAGTGATAAAAAGAAGAGAAAGAAAGTGTAACCATGTAAAAATAAAGCATCTCGATTTGTGTATCCACATTGTTTATTTGACACAACGTGACCGCCTGTAGACTAAAAGGCATTCTCTATAAAAAGATAACGCGCGTTTCAGATGCTTTATCATCGTTTTTCTTTCTGATTTCTATATCATTGAACAGAATGAGCAACTATAAAGAAATCTGTACTGTGCCCACTGACTTTGGCGTCACATTTACAAAGCTCAAGAGCGAAAAGACGGGGTTGACTGTCATGCTGGCAGACATTGAAGGTAGGGACATGATACGAAAGGGCTGAAATGGCAGGCGCTGATTAGGGTTGCATTGTATCATGAATATAGCGCCACTTGTAAATGGCTATTTTGCCTTGGCTACTGAGAGTAAGCAGACAGCAATCAATGATGGGTAGATATATCACTAACAACACCGCTCTAGGTTTTGATGATTTTGGCTGTCCTCATACATTGGAGCAGTAAGCAAACAGTTGTTGAGGCATTGCCAATTTTGCATACTGACACGAATCGTAGCCTTGTTTTCCTTGGCAGTGATCAGTACCCATACAAGGTAAAGAACGGCATTGCGCTACAAATGGCATCTACCAACATGGCGTCATTAGGGTGTTTTGGATTCACTTGCCAACAGAGCCATTGCCCAGGGCACAAATGCATGGACAGATGTGGACCACACGTGTTACACCATCACAACCGCTGGATCAAAGGGCTTTTTGAACCTACTGCCTATCTATGTTGACCACATCTTGTATCCCACCTTGACTGAGACTGGATATCATACTGAAGTTCACCATATCAACGGAAAGGGCGAAGATGCTGGTGTAAGTAGTATAAGCACGTATCATCACTGCATTGGCACACGGATTCACACTGGATGATTAGGTTGTCTACAGTGAAATGCAAGGATGTCAAAACCTAGGCGATGACAGACTTCACCTTCGCATGAAGAGAATCATGTACCCAGAGACCTGTGGGTACAGATCAGAAACGGGTGGCCTTATGGAGAGACTTCGCGAATTGTCAGTGGAAAAGAGTAAGTTTGGTCAATGCGTGTCGATAGCGGATTATTGATCATGGTATGTCTCTAGTTCGTGATTACCACAAATCTTATTACAGACCTGATAACCTCTGCCTGATAATCACTGGTAAGGTGGACAAGAATGAGCTGTTGAAAGCATTGGAACCAGTTGAGGAGTCCATCATCAAGAGAGGGCCTTTGCCTGAAATGCAGAGACCTTGGATCAGCACTAGCGACTTCCCCAACCTGGACAAGAACATTGAAGAAACCGTGCTCTTTGCGGATGAAGACGAATCCATGGGCACCGTGCTTATTGCTTGGAACGGTCCCATGTGCAGCGTAAGTAAATTTGGTTGACACGGTCAGTTGCAAGTAACTGAAAAAAAGATGCTTCCTCAGGAATTCCTTGTACAAAAAGAATTGGAAGTGTTAAACACCTACCTCACTGACTCACCTGTGTCGGTATTGCAGAGAAAATTTGTAGAGACGGAAGACGCACTCTGCACAGATGTCGATTTCCACATTACCGACCATTTGAAATCCACATTAATGTTTACAGCCTCCAGTGTGCCTATTGAAGAAATCGAAAACTTCCCAGCAGAGTTCTTTTCAACCTTGAAGCGACTTGTTCAAGACAAGGAAATTGACATGACTCGAATGGCCACTGTCATTGAAAAGGAGACATTGAAGCTCTTGGATAGTGCAGAAACGGACGCTCACGACACTGCCGCTGCTGTTGCCATCTCTGACTTTTTGTACGGATCTGCTGATGGCAAAGATCTTAAGGAATCTGTTAAGGATCAAGAGTATTTGGATGTTCTATCAAAATACACTGTGGAAGATTGGCTAAACGTCTTGTCCAAATGGTACATTGATGCACCCCGCATCACATTGTTTGGTAAGCCTTCTGCTGAATTCGCTGAGCAACAGTCAGAGGAAGAAACCAGTCGTATTGAGAAGCAGCGTGCTGATCTGGGCGAGGAGAGACTGGAGCAATTGCAACACAAACTGGATGATGCTATGGCAAAGAATGACGTCCCTGTGCCCAAGGAGCTACTGGAAGGATTCAGGATTCCATCAGCTTCTTCCATCAAGTTTATCAATGTGGTCACTGCCAGAAACAACGACAAGGAGATCTCAAATGAAGTCCAAACGTATATCAATCAAGACAACAGCGCTGATGTTCCCTTGTTTATCCAATTCGACCATGTCAAGTCTCACTTTGTCAAGCTCTCTGCTCACATCAGTGCTTCATCTATTCCTACGCATTTGCTCTTGTACACTCGACTCTTCTTAAAAAGCATCTTTTCTCTGCCTATCGAAAAGGATGGCAAACTCATTGCCTACGAGGATGTCGTCAAGGGCTTGGGTGAGGACACAATCGAATACGACGCTACCCTAGGTACCAGCTTTGGTTTCAGAGAATTGGCAGTGTTTACTCTCAAGGCGAACAGCTCCAAATTTGAAGCTGTCATTCAATGGTTGCATGACATTTTGTGGAATACCAAATTCACCGCTGAAAGACTCAAGATTGTAGCTGCACAAATTTTGAACGACATCCCTCAAGCCAAGCGTGATGGTCATGATATGGGCAATGCTACCATGCGCGCACTTCAAGTAGATCCCAAAAAGTCTGTCGATGCTGCTCGCAACATTTTGTTCCAGAACTCGTTTTTGCAAGAAATCGTCAAGCGTTTGGAAGATGATCCAACCTCTGTCATTGAAGAATTAAACGAGTTCCGTTCTCACCTGTGCTCTCCTGAAAACATCCGCATTCATGTTACCGGTGATATTTTGAACCTCAAGACCCCTCGCACTGCTTTCAAGGCATTTGCTCCTACAAATTCCATCAAGCCATTGGCACCCATCACATTGGCCAAGCAGGTACTCAAGCCCGTTGGCGGTGAACCTGGAAACCATGGTCTATTGGTCACTCTGCCCACTATTGAAAACTCATTTTCGCTTCATTCTGTAAAGGGCCCTGATAGATTTGATGATCCTGATATTGCACCCTTGTTGGTGATGATTGAATTGCTGGATACTATGGAAGGTATCTTTTGGAAATTGATCCGTGGTCAAGGATTAGCCTACTCGTGCTTCTTGGATGCCAACATTGAGTCAGGGCTGATTAATTTCACCATTTATCGCTCTCCTGATGCCTTTAAGGCTTTTGAGCAAGCCAAGATTGTTGTTGAGCAGCTGGCCAACCATGAAATGGACATTGATGTTTCCTCTATAGATGGTGCCAAGAGTGCTGTGATTTACAGTCTTGTGGCTAGAGAAAATACCATGGATCGTGCAGCATTGCAATCATTTGTCAACCAAGTGTTGAAGAAGATGCCTGCCTCTTACAATCGAGACATGCTCATTGCTATTCAAGTAAGTTGATTTGACACATGTCGGGCGTTCACATACTAACAAATGATGAATTTAGGCTGTCACCATGGATGATTTGCAACATGTCTTGAACAAATATTTTGTAAATATGTTTAAACCTGATACAAGCAATGTTGTTGTAATTAGTACACCTACAAAGATTGTAGACATTCAAAAGGGATTTGAGGGATTAGGGTTTGGTATCAAATCGGTTGCATTAAATGACATTAATGTAGACGCTTTTTAATGAATAAAGTAAAAGTTATATATCTTTAATTGATGCTCAAAGCATAGACATTGACAATGGCATACATCGTTCTTGATTCATGTCTATAGCTTGCATTGCCGTCGTTTTGGTTATCCCAGTAAACTTGGCTTCCAACGTAGAAGCCAGCACCCTTATTTTGAAGAATCACGCAATGAACTAAAGTGCGAGAAAGAGAGAGAGAGAGAGAGAGAGAGAGAGAGAGAGAGAGAAAGAGAACACAATCCAAAGTTAGTCTCCTCCCTCTATAGTGTAACTTCATTTATCAATACATTACCTATGTATTTGTAATTTGTGCTGATTGACTTCAATCTAGCAATGCATGTCTCGATGATGTTGGCGTTCCAAGCAGGTACTTTGGAGTGAGAGTACTCTGAGTCAGACAAAGTAGTTTCGACAATCTGTTCAAGTAGAGAGTTAGCCCTGAATATCTGTAGTTTCGTATTGCTAAATGTGGTCTTACTGACTTCTTTAATGACGCCAGTTACTTGCTCAGAGTTGAATGCGGTTTCCTTTATGACACGTTAGCATCGTTCAACAGCCACTTGGCATATGTTTACTTTACAGTTTTGGCGTTGCTGTCCATTTGATTTAACACAAAATTAAGGAAATAATCAAAAAAGAAGGGAAAACAATCAAAGCTCGAGCTGACTTGTCCAAAAGGTCACAGCAGAGGGGAGAGATGTCTCTACAAGCACACTTGGTTACTGATTTGTGTTGCATCAAACGTGTGCAAACTTGCATACTTTGAATGTCAAGAATGTTGCGATGTTGAATTTCGCGCAAAAACAATCATTAATAGCAAGTTTGCCTCTATTTTTTTAACATAGGGCTTTTAAGTTATAGATGTGTTCAAAAGAAAAGCTTGCAGATTGATTGTAATAAGAAAAATTTGATAATAAGAGCAAGAGGTTTTCATAGAAAAAAGCTTTGAAGAAAACCTATACAAGGCTCAGCTGAATCATTTAGGATGTCGCATTCCATCTATGTGGCCTTCCTATTAATCATTAAGAATTTTCGCTTCTCTACTCTCAAATTTTACATGAGGACCCGCTAAAACAGGCCTACAGCTATGAATTTGATTCTTCTACGATGCCCCACTTCTGCATCAATGCGAGCAATCCTTATATGAGGAGATAAACATACTTGCATTGCCTAATACTACTCAAAGATAGGCACAACACAGCATACTTTGGGTGCATTTGAGCAGCATTTTCTAGTGTTATGAGCTGTTTTGAACCTTCAAAATAGCACCAAACAGCAGCCCTCGACTAGCACTCATTCTCTGATACCTTAGCTCAACTTTTTTGGGACCACAAAAATATCGTCAAAAATCGGCCTCTAACCATGAGGGGTACCTCACGGTTATCACCAAAAATTAAACAATCGCGTTTTTTACCTCGAAAGTGAAGACTTTTACTATAGCATACGAGCCTTTCAGCACTTCGGGTGGTTTCCTGACCTACGCTTCGCTTCGGTGGAAACCAACCTACGTTCAAACGGCTCGCGCTGCCGCGGGCCTTTGGCTAATATCCCAAAATTAATATAGCTAAAATGTTAGAAGAGGAACCCTGATTGTTGATTGATATATAATCACTAATCATATGAGTGTTTATGCTTCGGATGGTTCTCACCGAAGCGTAGCGAAGGTAGAGAACCAACCTGCGCAGCGGCAGCTCGTGCTACTGATTGCTCTTGCGTATTTTATCAAAATACTGCTACTTTCATTTTGACCCTCCACTTACACATAGTAACCCTTCATATTATCTGTGGATCTGATTCTTATGTGATGTTCTACATCCATATTCACGTAGCTACTTCATATACGGGCAAGCAGCATACTGGTATTCCCACTTTTTAGTCCTTAGTGTCCCTAATACAGCAAAGTATGAGTGCATTTGAGCTGAATTTTCTTGCGTTCAAGGCCGTTTTAGATCGTCAGAATAGCCCCAAATGGTTGCTTTCATCTGGCAGTTCCTTTCTGACACTTTTGCTCGACTTTTTGGGGACCAAAAAAACATGGTCAAAAATCGACCAAAAAGCATGAGGTATCCCTCATGGTTTTCATCGAAAATCAAACGATCGCATTTTTCATCTTGAAAATGAAGACTTTTACTATAGTATATCTTGAATCAAAATGTTTCTATCAATCCAAAGCAACCTCTGAAATTATCTTTGTGGGACTTTGATATGTAAAATTTCGACATTTTGGCCATAAATCTCTTTTCATATTTTTACAAATCATTCAATAAGTGATTTCAAAACATCTATTTTACTTAGTACCATTGGAAGCGCCTTGAAAAGTACTCCAGGAAAGCTTAAGGAAGCATGGGGCGATTATCATACTTCACTTAGTCGAATCTGCAAAAATAGCTCGATCGAGTCCAGGATCATCAAAATTTGTCCAATCTGGAACAGACTATGATTCTGGGTTTGAATTAATTTTGGCTGGTAGGGCCAGCTGGAAAACTCATGCCCTTTTCATAAGGCAATACAGTAGTAAATGCCCTCGAAGCGTATAGAAAGTAGGTGGAAGGTCATAGCACTATCGTTTATAATGATATTTTATTGCCTTCTATATCGTTCATAATGATATTTTATTGCATTCTATATTTAATAACGTTAGTCTGGACATTGACAATGCATGGGTTGCATAAAATGTCTGCAGTAAGTAATGAAATCTCTGAGGCTCTGAGACGTCGCTCAAATAAAACATTGACAGCATTGAGCAGAGGAAAGAGGGTAGAAATAACAGTGGTTTTTGTTGATTGATTGTAAAATCATTATTCTCATATGAGCCAGGACAGATAGATGCCTTGAAACTCAGGTTCCATATTAGGATTGTAAAGTGCAAAAGTACTGAACATTTATTATGTTATGATGATATGAGCCAGGACAGATAGATGCCTTGAAACTCAGGTTCCATATTAGGATTGTAAAGTGCAAAAGTACTGAACATTTATTATGTTATGATATTAATTCAAAGTGTTTCTCTCGATCCAAAGCAACCCCTAAAACAACTTTTGTGATATCTTCATATGCAATGTCTCAACATTTTGATCAAAAAATACATTTCATGTTTTTCCAAATTGCTCAACAAGTCTAATCAAATTACCTCTTGTAAGTAGCACCACAGGATGCGCCTTGAAAAGTATCTCTAGAAAGCTTAAGGGAGCATTGGATGATCATGACAATTCGTATAGTCGATTATCGCAAAACTGAAGGATCAAGTCGAAAAACGTTAAAATCTGGCCAATCTGGAGCAAAAGCAAAGTTGAGTTTGAATTGATATTGGCGGCGGCTGTTTGCAGCAGGCAAACACACCTTTGCATGAATGCAATCAATGTCTTTGAAGCTAATGGAAGGAACTTACAGATTGAAAAGCGCTACAATAAGAGCTTCTGTAGTTTCTGATTTGAAAGCCACTAGAGCGGCGATTTGCCACTACATATCGCAATGTAAATGCATAGTTTTGCCCCTATATTGAAGAACCTGCAGAAGACATCCCATGTTGAATTTAGAGACGTCTCGAATGCTTCGTATGTTGGTTTTTGGGAGAGACTCTCCAATTATTTAGCTGTGCTTTAGCGTAAGTGCGTGTCAAGTGTCTCACTTCACGAGGGAGATAACTAATTTCGTCGCAATTCGCATAACAATCCCATGCATAGCTCTGAGCTGCATCTCTGTTTGTACGCCATGCTGCTATAACTTGCCATGCCTGTTCCAGATTGAGGTAATAAAGTTTGTTTGTAAGCTCGTGTGGACGATTTGGATGAACAGTGGCCTGCAATTGCTTGTACTCAACTCAATACCGTATCAGTTTTCAACTGATTGCTGTGTACAAACAACTCATAAATACCGATAATAACTACTATTAACAATGATGTACGCTAACTTTAAACGGCTCTCCTGGTCTCCGTTTCCATCAAAAAATTCCTTTACTTTACATAGAGTTCTGATTATTCAAGGGTTGCTGTTTGTTCACGTTGCTTTGAATAGAATAAATCAAGAAAATTCGATTCTATGGTGAGGCATTTTTCATTTCATTGGGAAATGATGTATACTGGATTGTATAAATCTCTAAAAAAAAAACGATATTTTCATGATGCAGCAATGACAAGGGATGATTCTTTTCTCTCCTTAGTATGATGGTGTATATATTGTATCAGTTGCCCACGCTCCGCTCAATCAAATGTACAAACTATTCTGTTGCTTCTCCACTGCAAAAAAAAAAAAAAAAAAAAAAAAAACGCAAATGCCTTTCAAATATGGAAATATCACTCAAATCGTGATAAAGTTTGCATGCAAATAGTGAAACCTGCTAGAATTTATATGGTTTGGTGCAAAAACAGAATTTCATACAATCCAGAAAAAGTTGAAATCTGTCATGTTATTCTCATATCCGCCCTGTGCGAACTATATCTCATCTTGGCAACATTTGTTGCACTGAAGAAAGAAAGGATGTAATCGCACATGTTTACAATTAATCACACTTTTGTCCAATCAAATGCCATTGTGTATTGAAACATTTGGGTATTGAAATATTGTACAAAAATAGATAGCAGCTGTATTTTCCGAGTTTGCTATAAAGCTGTTGAATGGAAAAAATAACCCAATCATGCCCCCTTTGAATTACTGAAAGCACTACATGTTCTATTCTACACAACTCCCCTTTTAAATACGCACAAAATATTTTCTGTTTTCTATTTTTCGCCTTTTTTTCCCTTTTCCAATTATTTTAATATTAATGTCTGCAACTATAACGACTACCAAAAAACATTCAAGCCAAAACAGCCATGACTCGACTACATTACCATCATTGTGTTCATCCATCTCAAGCTACAATTCTTCACTATCTAATACAATAACAACTCAGAAGCAACCGAGAAAACGTTGGGATGATTCGCAGTTTGCCATTGAACTGTGCGATGACCATTTATTAGCACCGAAGAGCAGCAGTAATCATTCACAAAAGAATGAACATTCACATCGCTCAGCAGCAGCCAAAAGCCTCAAAAAGAAGCTGTCCATCAAGTTATTTGGCCCTCTCTCTCCTACTACAACTCCAGCATCAGCAACAGCTGATCTCGATACCATGGCAACCAATCACAGCGCAATAAGCCTTCGTAGTAACCATAGCAACAAAATGTCTCTATCTTTAAAACGATTAAAAACCTTGCTTTCTTTATAACACATTTCTTTATTCATCGCCATAGCCATATCTATCGTCATCAATAGAGTCATTTGGATTGACACGCATTCCTGCTGGATACAATCGATTGTAAGCTAATGCAGACTGACTAACGAAATCTGAGTATTCCTTGGGTAAATATTTATGTGCAACTGCTTCCAATGATTGCCTGTCTGTTATGATCTTTTGTCTCTTCATCAATAATATCATGTCTTCCGGTGTAATTTCATCTTGTAAATCCTCAGGTTGGCTCTCTTTGTAGCTTTTCAAATCATCCAACATTTGCTCGAAAAAAAGGCTTCTCAGTTGCGCATAGTGACCAACTGGCATCGAAATCAGCTTGCTCAGTCCTAAATAACCATCAAATAAAGACTTGACTTGTGCTGTTGGTATTACGTTGAGTCTAGTGTTTTATCTTAGCCATTTCGATTCACAACAAACGCTTGCTTCATTACCCTGAAGTTGGAAGTTTATCCATCAACTTGCTTATAAATGAATCTCCTTGTACCACCACCTTATTTCTCGGTTCAACGGGTTTCCTTGTGTCTGTACTACTAGTATTGCAGAAAAAAAAGCATGCATTCAAATTAGTATCGAGTAATATAAATGGGAAATTTCTATTAGTTTCATTTACATTGGTACAAGCAGGCTATTATCATCCGCATCAAACATAGCTGAATCCTTTGATCTCGATTTCGGCTGCCCATCTATGAATCGATTGAATCCCATGTCTTGGTCTCTATCACCTTCATTGAAATTCTTCACACTGCCAGCATTTCTTTGATTCAATTCGTCGTCATCGTAGTCCTCTTCAAAACCACCTCCATAATAATCATTATCGTCATCCATTCCTTCTTGCGCCCTTCGAATGTCCTCCTCAAACGTATCATGTTGTGTTTCTATCACAGGTGATGCTGGTGGTGGTAAGGACGGAGAGTGTGGTGCTATTGGTGATGATAGCTGTATTGGTAAATCTTGTGTCTCAATGTTCGTTTGTGCTTGTGCTTGCGGTAATAATTCTCTTTTGTCTGGTATCTCTTGTGTAGCAAGTGTGATTTCATGAAACAATGATTTCTGCGTATTTCCATAACCTGTTTCTTGGGTAGCTAATCGAATATCATGAAATAAAGATCGCTGCGTATTTTCGATAGAGGTATTGTTGTTTCCTTCACCACCTTCATAAAATGACGACGAATCAATGTCCATTGAGATATCTCTATCTGACCGCTGCGTCTGCTGCTGCTGCCGTAATGGCCCTAGTTCTTCAAATATAGGCGCAGTTTGCTCTATGTTGACTTTCTCCGGGACCATTTTAGCTGATTGATCGAAGCTCTCTTGTTGAGAGGGTAGAAGCGGTATTCGTTTCTGTAATGGCTCTTCTATGGTTCGAAATAAGCGATCAAAGCGAGAGTATTTATCTGTGGTCAATTCAGTAATGACAGAAAGTGTATCGTCAGCTAATTCGTTATGGCGATGTCTCTTCTTGAACATGTGGATATGTCTTTGATCCTCCAACACGGAGGGGTTGTAGCTTTTGAATCTGGCGCTTGTTTTAGATAGTCGTACTGGGCTGCGGCGCTCTGGTCTGTTCATGACATATTCTGTGCTTTCAGATCGAGTTCCATTGGATTGACTAGGCTCTCTGAATTCTGAATCAGTTGGGGGTTCTATGGCTTGGTTAGTCATAATCATCAGTATGCGCAATGTTTGTAGCTTACGTCGACTCAATAATTTGACTATTTGACTGGCTGTTTCATTTGCAACTCTGCGTTGAAAACCATCTCTGCTATATGGATTGAATCTTTCTGTTGGTGTATCAGCCATTATTATAATGAAAAGAGAAACACGTCGAAAAAGGCAAACATTCAGGCAACACATTGCAGAACAATAAAGGCTGGGACTGTTGTTGTTGGTCTGGCTGTCAGTTATAGACATTTACGAATGAAATTGAGGCATACAGAGATCAAATGAGATGTGTAGCAGTATTGCATACTCAAAATGGTCAATTGAAATGAAATATATTGATTTATTCTAGAGTTTCATGTCTAACATTGGATTATAATTGCTTTCCCTTGTAATTGGCATTCAACAAGAACATTCTGCTGAACACAAGCAATCCAAATCCAATCTTGTCCTGAGGATTAGCGGGCTGTGTCAAAGACAACCAATATTTCAATCCTCTTCTCAAGTTTTCCTCGTCTTCATCAACTGATTTCATGCCACGCTCCTCAACAGCATGGCTCAGTTCAGCCAACGTAAAGCGATCCACAAGATTTTCCTTCAAAATCATCTAAAAGCAACAGATTAGATAATCACATCGCTTTATACGAATTGCTCAATCTCACCTTATCGTCTTGATCGAGGTATTCCATGTACTTGGTAAGTCTCTTCTGCAAAATTGATCTGGTTCCATAATCATTGATGCCCATATATCTGCAGTAAGATCGCAAATGTCTTCTGTCAATACGACTCAAATTGAAATCATAGCCATAGCTCTTCTCGAGTTTTTGAAACTTGGATAGCGACAAAAAGTCCTTTGGTGCAATCTATTATGTCGACGTAAATACAGAGTCGTGTTGTCCATAACTGCTAATTTCACTTACACCTTGAACATATTGTGCTGATTCCAATACATTGCGGGTCATCTTTTGTCTGAGCTCATTCAATTTCACTCGTTGCTTTTGCTGTTTGAGTCAATATAAGTGTCAGTATTCAGAGTGCGGAAACGGTGCTACCTACAACTTGGCTATCCTTGAGACATGTTCCAGGGACCATACCAGGAACGTACATGACGAGCAATGGAATCTATATTCGCTTAAATATGAGTATGTCTGAGGAAACATGTTACAGGTACACCTACAGATTCAGGTAAAACCATGAATACGAAACCAAAAGGAATAAGTTTCAACATGTCTTTCTTTGATTGATGAATCATCTGGAATTCAGATCGGCTCAATTCATAGCCCTCGTTAGCTACTTTGAGCTGCAACGCCTTGGCTTCCTTGTTATTTGCCCAAAGTTGCTTTAGTCCGTCCTTGTAAAATTTGATGAGATCTTTGGATTGCTGAATGAATTTGCCAATACGAGAGGTAGGCTGTTTGGCTGTGGAAGACGCAGCAGTCTCTGTATTAGCCTCAACGACGTGGGTATTGATGGTGTTGGTGGTAGGCTTGCCGATTTGCTCGTTACTGAAATGGATCATGGATGTAGAGAATGATCTAAGAGAATATTGAGCCAGACCGATGCGACTGATTCTAGGCTTTGCTACCGTAGCAACCAACAAGGGACGATAACCCATTGTGAATGGCCTGTTAGGATGGATGAATACGTGTTACAGGTAGCATGCAGCAGCTGTAAGTTACCTAACATTTTGTCGGATGGTGCTTCTTACCACAGATAAAGACATACTACGAAAAGCGGCTATAAAACGAAAGCAACCTTGTCTCTTTAATGAATCTCAAGAAAACCCCCCCTTGTGCTCGGCTCAATCAGGGTTGAGATCCAAAAGATCCCGCTATGCCTTTTGACATTTTGACTCAAAACAAGAGATCACGGAATCAATAGAGAAATTTATATACAGTAGTTTCGTATTTCGATGTTTATATCATGCAAGACTATCACCACAGTGTTGATTTATTCAATTTTCTTTCTTTAATATATAGAAACAATGCTTTTTTATTGCTTAAATGAGAGTCTCATAAGGAATAGGAGCAAGAGTTTGAGGAACGTTGAACTTGGTAGAGATGTGACGAGCCTCACGAGGTTGAGCAGGGATTCTCTTCAAGTTGAAAGAGACTAGAATGCAACACAAAATCAACACAACGCCTTCAATCATACCTATAAGTACTTTTACTTACCACCAGCTTCCTTGGCTTCCTTCTTCTTTTGAGCATTGGAAACAACACGGTCCAAGAATTCTTGACGACACTTGGAGTGCTTGATGTGTTCAACACGGACGTTGACACGCTTCTCCAAATAACGGTTACCAACGTTCTTGTGAACGAGGACACCGACGGAAGACTTGGTGACATTGTAAATGACACCGGTGCGACTGTAGAATGATCCAATGTCAATTCATCAAGACTATACCCAATGCTCACATCTATACATTACCCGTGGTAGAACTTGTGGGGCATACCCTTTTGGACAGCAGCATTGGCCTTGATATCAACAATATCACCAACCTTGTAGGTCTTCAAGTAAGTAGAGAGAGGGATTGAACCATGCTCTCTGAACTTACGAGAGAACATATGACGGGTACGAGCACGGACTATCATGAATGACCCATCAGTTCCATTGCAATTCAAATATGCTTAAGATAATACTTACGACCGAATGAGTGAGGCATACTGATTTTTGTACAAGGTGAAGAAAAAAAAAACAATCAAAAATTAGTCGACCATTCTGCTTTCTGATTCCACATTTCCCGCTATCGCTATCTCTGTCGCTCGCTAGTACTATCTATTGTATCGAGATCCCTTCCAGAAAACGAAAGTTTACCTGTCAAACTTTGCACAAAAAAAAAGAGAAAGAAGTCTAGTTTAAAGGGGCAATCCTCTTAATGATTGTAACCCCCTCCTCCTCCAACCGCTTCCCCGTTCAGAAAAAAATTTTCTTTGCTTCCAATGTAGTCGAAAAATGGTCACTGAGATCATGAAATGTCAAAGCCATCCAAAAAATTTGCGGCAGTTGCAGCCCCCGAGAGAGCACCGAAACCAGCAAAGAAAGGCACACAATTCACAGTGGATTTGGGCTCCTGCTCCTCTAAAAAAAAAGTTTTTTTTTCTTTCTCTTTTCTCCTTCTCTTTAACAAAATGACCGGTGCTTCCAGAACCTACAGTAAGACTTCCACTGTCCCCCGTCGTCCCTTCGAGTCTGCTCGTCTTGATCAAGAACTCAAGTTGATCGGTGAGTTCGGTCTCAAGAACAAGAAGGAAATCTGGAGAGTCGGATTGACTCTTTCCAAGATTCGTCGTGCTGCTCGTGAGCTTTTGAAGCTTGATGAGAAGGATCCTCGTCGTCTTTTCGAAGGTAACGCTCTTATCCGTCGTCTTGTCCGTATTGGTGTCCTCGATGAATCCCGTATGAAGCTTGATTACGTTTTGGCTTTGAAGATTGAGGATTTCTTAGAACGTCGTCTCCAAACCCAAGTCTTCAAGTTGGGACTTGCCAAGTCTATCCATCATGCCCGTGTCTTGATCCGTCAACGTCATATCCGCGTTGGTAAGCAAATCGTTAACGTTCCCTCTTTCATTGTTCGTTTGGACTCTCAAAAGCACATTGACTTTGCCTTGACCTCTCCCCTCGGTGGTGGTCGTGCTGGTCGTGTCAAGAGAAAGAGAGCTGCTGCCGGTGCTGGTGGTGATGATGCTGAGGATGATGAAGAGTAAATCTTTTCTCTCTCCGTTGCCATTAACTCATTTTATCATAAATAAATTTAATTTAATCTTATGGTACTAGACTAAACAATTGACTAACGTATGTGTTGGTTTTTGCATTGTGAGTTTCTTTTTGGTATGAAGGAAGTGTTGCTGTGAAATATTATTTAATGATGGAGAGCCTGTCAAATTTTTGGTTCCTTGATCCATTTATACTTCCGAACTGTCAGACAGGCCTTTTTGGAAAAGCTATTACAAAAAGCCAATTCTATGTTCGTTCAGGTCTCCAAGTACAATATGTTCCCCATAAGTGATACCACATTTGTCTTTAGGTTGCTTCTGCCAGCAATAACAAAATTTGTCTAATTTCAATCTACTTCTGATTTAGATTAGACAAATTTCAAGGCATCTGTCTGGCCTGACTCATATATGATTAATGATTTTACAATCAATCAACAAAAATCACTGCTAGTTCTACCTTCATTCCTCTGCTCAATGCTGACAACATTTTGTTTGAACGACGACCCGAAACCTCTGAGATTTCACTACTTATTGCAGGCATGTTTTGCAGCCATGAATCGCCAATGTCCAGACTAACGTTATTAAATATAGAATGGAATAAAATATCATGATAAACGATAGTGCTATGACTTGCGACATACGTCTCATACGCTTCAAGGGAATCTATTACTGTATTGCCTTATGAAAAGGACATTAAGCTTGCCTGCCAGCCCCACCAGCCAAAATTATTTCAAACCCAGAATCATAGTCTGTTCCAGATTGGACAAATCTCAATAATTTTGGACTCGATTGAACTATTTTAGTAGATTCGACTAAATAAAATATGATGATCCTCCTATACTTCTTTAAGTTTGCCCCTGGTGGTAGGGCGAAGTGGTAGAACTCCCGTATGCCAACGGGAGGATCCCGGTTCAAATCCTGGTGAACGCAAGTTGTCTGATTTTTTGACGTAGTACTGATGTCCTCGTTTGGTGTTTTGTATTCTTATCCATTATCTATATTTTGACGATTTCCGCAAGACTGTATTGGCTCTAAGTGTCGCACCTTATTAGTAGTAGATTTCTTTCCCAACTTAGTTCAAAAATATCTTAATCCCCTTCATTGCAGACATTGGGCCCACCAACAGTCTTTTCTATCCCTCAGCATGACATTTAAAGGACTTTAAATAAAACCTGGAGCTCGACTCTCCTACAAAAAAAAAACTTCTTAAGCTTTCTTGGAGTGCTTTTCAAGGCGCATCCAATGATGCTAGTTATAATGGCTGTTTTTAGTGAACTTGTTGAGCAATTCATGAGATTATGAAATAACGTTTTTGGCGAAAATGTCGAGATTTTACATATGAAGGTCCCACAAACATGGTTTCAGGGGCTGCCCTGAATTGAGAGAAACATTTTGATTCAAGATATACCATAGTAAAAGTCTTCGTTATCAAGGTGAAAAATGCGATCGTTTGATTTTTGGTGAAAACCACGAGGGGTACCTCATGCTTTTTGGTCAATTTTTGGCCATGTTTTTTTTTGATCCCCAAAAAGTTGAGCAAAGGTGTCAGAAAGTAACTGCCAGATGAGAGCAACTGTTTGGTGCTATTCTGGCGGTTTTAAGCGGCTTCCAGCACAAGAAATTGTTGCTCAAATTCACCCATTTCTTGCTGTGCTTTGCATTCTGTCGAATGCCAAGAGGCAATTCAGGTATAATGTATGCCTTGATCACTTGTTGAGTAGTGAAATTTGAAGAAATCAATGTATTGGTATGCCAGAACCAAGATACTTCCATCAAGCATAAACCATCGCTAGACTGTGAATAACCTTTATGCAGAAAAATCAGCGGCTGGTTCTGTCAAGTAGCGCTTACGGTATCCAATACCCTCTTAGATGCATATGATACTAGCATTTAATACAACTATAGATACCGTAGATACTGTAGCAAAAGTCATATCTCTATCAAAGCTTTAAGATATTTTTGGCTATTTTTATATTAAACTACGGGTTGAGCGAACGTAGGTCATTGTATAATTACATGTGTGTATATAGTCCCTCACACTACTAGTGCTTTTGCAACGACTAAATATTTTGCTCTAGAAACTTCTTGAAGTCTGGAATACCTTGTATCCATAGCAATCCAACAACTTGTATATTAGTACATAAACTCTCAAGCGCATTATCCAATAAATGTGTCTATCTCTAATAACATGAGGCATGAAGCTTGTGCAAGACTGCGTGTGTACAATGACTAAATAGCTATCTCTTCCGAGAGGAGAGTTGTATTGCCTACAATGATAGCGGTACTCTGTATGACATCAAACCTAACAATGCTTCGAAATGGCCATAGTCAGACTTTCTCCATTCATCTTCAACCACAGCTTCACGATCCAAGAACATTTATATCAGTGGCACTTATGATATCAGTTGCTTCAAACGGCTTTCTGTTTATACATTGGTTTTAATAGAGAATGTAATAAAAGACGATGATATAGTAGGCAATGCAAAACTCTTTTTATTATTAATTTGCTTGTAACTTTATAGAAAACGATGGTAATGTATGAGAGTTTGTTTAGATTTGAATAGATGCTAGCTAACTTGAATATAATTTGATTTAACTTGTATAGGTAAGAGATAGTATTGATGTGTGTATTGCAAGGTTTCGTGTATAGAATAGAGACAGCAGATGTGGCAGTATGGCTTGACTTTGTATATACTAGGCAGCATGAGTCTTGACATTATAATAGATGGCAGGCAGCAGAGATACGAGTATGGCTTGACTTTGTATATACTAGGCAGCATGAGTCTTGACACTATAATAGATGGCAGGCAGCAGAGATACGAGCATGGCTTGGTCTTGTATAGATGTAGAGATGGCACCGTGTATTAAAGTGGTTTTGACATTGCAGGAAATAGATCTACAGTATATTGCGGGACATTGGATTATTACAAAGGATACTTACCCTGTAGCATACTTGATGGACGATGAAAAGAGCAGCTTGAAACACGAGGAGACCAAAAGATGAAGCCAGGCTTCCAGGGCAAACCATCCGCCACAACTTGCATATCCCTAGCAACAAGGATGGGATGACACCTCCCGGGAAACGCACCTAGCGCCTCGTCGCATCACCCTTACGAGCTACCGGGGCAACAGGTGCTGAGGCCACACGAGACAACCACCTTACGCGCATGACCCCTAGACCCCATCCAAGGCTTCAACCAAGTATGGAGTGTTTGCAAGTCAAAATATAGAGGACCTGAGCTCTATTAATAGAGAGATGGTGAGTCATGCTGCTTTATAAGCTAGAAGTGACGAGTACATACCTGCAGAGTTGATTGTATGTTGCTATTATCTAAAAATACGAGGAAAGTGCGACCATGTTTTGCATGGACCGCAACCTAAGAGAACCATGGAACTATGAGAGCATTGTGTAAGAAAAAGCCAATCATCAGTAGAGTGTTTGATTTACTTGACCATGTATAGAGCAGAAAGAGAGCCCAAGAATATTGCAGAGAGAATTCGCTTGCAGAGAGAGTTCGCTTGCAGAGAGAGAGAGTTCGCTTGCAGAGAGAGAGAGTTCGCTTGCAGAGAGAGAGAGTTCGCTTGAAGAGAGAGTGAGTTCGCTTGAAGAGAGAGTTCGCTTGCAGAGAGAGTTCGCTTGCAGAGAGATTTGTTAATAGAGAGTAGAGATGAGATGAAGAAGAAGAAGAAGAAGGAAAAGCTGTTGAAACAACCATCTATTTATATCCTTCTCATCGACTTTTGTGTGAGTCCAGTATCCTTGCCACACTCAAATTCGTTTCCTTTTACTTTTCTCCACGATATACTACTTTGAGCGCGTGAAAATAGTACCATTTTGACGTTTGACACTTGCTCTATTTGATCCGCTTCGTCCGAGGCTTTCAACTGTTTTCTGTCTCGAGTTATGTCCATTTTGCTACTTCAAAAAGCCCTTTTTCCACCTTCACATGAAACGAGTTCCCCCATCTCTTCCTAGATGTAATTAACAGACAACTTTTCACTGGCTCAACTTCATCAAAAAGTAAACAAAAAATGTCATTTGACACTGAAACAGATGCAGCTGGTTGCTTGATTAAGTAATCTTTTTTTTTTTACCTCTCCTTAATTTCTCTCTCCAAGATCATAAGGTTCTCGATCCATCTCTCTTGTTGTTTACATCAGCCATAAACTGTCCATCTAATCGGACAATACGAGTGTTAAGGTTGGCTTACTTGTCGTTTACATCACATCGGAGCCAGCATAACTGATTCTGGACCAAGAAACAAGTGTACACCTCGGAAAACAAGCGTGCCATATGAATATTACTGCGGCAATCTCCATGGAATGGAATATAATGGATTGTTTTCGAACCAGTGCAAGTCATCTTGTTTCCAGCTATCATGGTTGCTGTCAATGATGTCAATCAAGTGTTTGCGCTACTAGATATCATCAATATGCCCACATTTACATAGTGAGTTGGTCATTCTCGTGTATCATTCCTGCAACCTGTTTTTAGTTCTTATGCCAAGAGCATGCATCTCATAAAGAGTCAACACATTTTTCATATCATTTTTTTTTTAGGGATCGTCCTCTTTTAGAAGGTATTCGGATCATGCAAGATCAAAATAATTCATTTGCTAGGCAAAATTAAGCTTTAAAAAAATCACATGTAAAGTAAACAAAAGGACATGAATTGAAGAGAGATAAGCAAGTAAATGGCCAATTTGTGGTCAAAGAGAGGATATTTTATTAGAAAGTATGTACATCATTAGAAAGCAAATCGCTTGAGGAATCCAATGGTACTATTTTCAGGGTTCTAAGTAAAGTACACATCGCGAAATTCATCAAACAAGGCCGTGGGATTTCCAAAAGAAAGAGGTTTCTGAATTAAACTTCACCTGCAATATCATTTTTGTCTGTGTGCTATTCTGTTGCTTTGGATCATGTCACGCTCCTCCTATGTCACCAGCTTGTTCTTTTTGGGTCTCACGTTGGGTACGCTGTCCATTTGG